CATCTTTGCTTGATGGAGGTCTCTTCCACCAATATTTTGCCTTCCTCATCTTTGATACACTTCACTTGGTCCAAGTCGCTCGCCTTCCTCTCTCTTGCTTTTGCGAGCCTATACAACTTCTTAACCCCGCCTTTGTCCCCAGCTCGACATACAAGCGTTCGAAAGCTGCCGTCTTCGCCTTCGTAACAACTAACTTAGCTTCTGTCTTTGTCGTCTTATAGACTTTCTTAAGCGTCCGCTTCTCCTCCTCGTCTACACACTCCGCCAATTTTGTGTGTGCAGCCTTCTTCGCTTCCGCTTTGCCTTGGACTTCCCCATTCCACCACCAGTCTCCTTTATGGCCTCCAAATTTACCCCTTGAAACCCCTAACACCTTAGAAGCAACTTCCCTAATGCAACTAGCTGCTTTATTCCACATGGTGTCCGCATCCCCGTTACCACTCCAAGCCCCCATCCCCATCAACTCCTCACCCATCTCCCGCGAAAGGGCAGGGGTCAACCCTCCCCATTTAATCCTCGGTCGATCAGGTACCATCTTCTTCCTCCTAACCCTCTTAATTTTCAGGTCCACCACCAAAAACTTGTGTTGGGTAGTGAGGTTTTCACTTGGGATGACCTTGCAGTCCTTAAAGAGACCTCTATCCCCCTTCCTAAGGAGTAAGTAATCTATCTGAGTCTTAGCTACCGTGCTACGAAAGGTAGCCTAGTGGTTCTCCTTCTTCGGAAAGCACGAGGTAGCAATCACCAACTCAAAGGCCTTAGCAAAGTCTAGAAGCGAAGTTCCACCTCCATTTCTCTCCCCAAAACCAAAGCCTCCATGAACATCATCAAAGCCACTAGAAGTTGCCCCGATGTGTCCATTAAAATCTCCACCAATGACAATCTTCTCGGTATTCGGAATACCTCTAACTACCTCATCCAATTCCTCATAAAAGAGCTTTTTGGCCTCCTCGTCCAATCTCACTTGAGTAGCATAAGCACTAATAACACTCCAAGTACATCCTCCAATGACTAGCTTAATCGTCATCAGTCTATCATTGATCCTCCTAACCTCCACCACTTGCTCCCTCAAATCCCCGTCTACAATGACCTTCCTATATAATTTTTGGAAGTGCTTTGGAGAGGTTGGAGTAGTATGGTTAAGGTTAACCAAGCTATTCAATGTTATATGAAATGAGTAGGGTATCCTTCATTCTAATATATAAGATTAAAAGAAATGAGACATTCAAGGTTTTGAACACTATTATGGTATCAAACCTAGGGTCATGATAAAATGATGGGGAAGAGTGATAAACCATAGATTTGGAGGTATTGTGAAGGTGAAAAAGGATCAATTGTATTTATGCTTAGTAGATCTATATTTTTTTTTTGAATAGGGCATTCCTCATTGAAGTCGGAGTTGAGTAGATCTATAATTGAGGTTATATTTTTGCTGAAAATATTGATGGAAGTTTATAGGGAGGGGTCTTCGTTGGGTAGTAATTGACCTGGATAAAGCATATAATAGAAAGCTAAGGAAAGTACCTTGTTCAGTGCTTGAGAAGAAAGGAACTCATATCAATCAAATAAATTTCAGGATATTATGATGGAGCAGTAACTAGTGTGAAAATGAAAAAGAGATACAGAGGAATATGTGGATTTACACCAGGGATCTGCCTTATGCCCCAACTTGTTTACCTTTGTGAATGAGTGAACCGGCTGACTCTAGCTTTGAATGAGCTAACCACAAGTATATAGGATAAGGTTCCATGGTGCGTGTTATTTTTAAATGATATTCTGCTTATTAAATAAACAACTGAAGTCATCAGCCAAAAAACTGTACTTTGCAGAAGCATTATGAAGAGTTACTGTTTAAAATATATCAATAAGACATAATATATGCACTTTAGATTGGACCCATAGTAAGGTGAAGTGATGTTAGACAATCATGACAAGTCACATATTTATGCTCAGTCTCCTAGGAAAATGGCAATGATAGATAAAGATATTTTATATGATATCATAATAAGATGGTTGAAATAAAGGAGGGTGATAGAAGTAATATGTGAGTAAGAAGATCTTTCTTGTGGCAAGGAAATAAGGAGAAAAAGGTTTATACTTGGTGAAATGGAAGGCTTTAACAGTGAGTAAGAAGAAGGTGGGACTGGGACTCAGAGATCTGACGTTTCAGAATAAGGCTTTAAAAATAAAATGTCTTTGGAGATACACACTAGAAGACCAAATGTTATGGGTAAGGGCTATCAAGACAAAGTATGAGGAAGAGGACAGATGGATGACAAAGGAGATCAGCACTCCTTATGGGGTTAGTTTATGGAGATCTATCAGGGTCTTATGGCCTTTGCTGAAAAACAGAAGCACCATCAAAGTTGCAGATGGTAGTAAAACTATTTTCTGGAAGGATATATGGCTAGGGACTGAGAGTTGACAAGAGAAATTCCCTGACATCTACAATCTTGCACTTCATCAACATAATACAATGGCAGAACAGTGGTCAAACCAAGGTTGGGATATTATCTTCAGAAGAATGCCTAATGACTGGGAGGTGAGTAGGGTGATTGCTTTCTTCAATCTGCTAGGAGCTTTTGGAGGCTTACAAAAAGGGGCTGACAGATTATGGTGGAATGGATACAGCAGTGGTGCTTACAAAGTGAAAGCAACTTACAAATATATGAACCAAACCAATCATCAAATGGTAGAATGGCCTTGGAAGCACATTTGGAAGGCTAAGATACCATATAAGGTTTCATGTTTTGTCTGGCTTTTGGCAAGAGAAGCAGTTCTTACTCAAGATACCTTGATGAAAACAGGGATTACTATTTGTCCCAGATGCTGCCTATGTGAGGAAACTACAGAGACAGTTAATCATCTTTTCCTCCACTGCAAAATAACTGGTCAAGTATGGAGGATGTTCTTGGCACTCAGAAGTATAACCATGGATAATGCCCGGAAAGATTTCTGAACTCTAGCAAGTTGGGGAAGAAGCAGGTTTGGAGGTCAGAGGTCAGAGATAGAGGAAGATGGAGAATGGTTCCAGCTTGTATGTGGTGGACAATATGGAAAGAGAGGAATTCCAGATGTTTTGAAAATAGGAGCAACTCTATCCAACAGATGAATATGAATTGTATTTTGCTCTTTAGTTTTTGGTGTAGACAGTCTCACTAGGTAGAAACTGTTGAAATTCTAGATGTATTAAGCACCCTATAGAAGACTAGAATAGCTCCAGTTTCTTATGAGTCTTTTGATGTAAATATGGTGCAAGTACAACCAATGTATTGAATGATCTTAATCATAGATAGAAATACACAAAGATACCAATTTCAAAATAAATAAATATAGAAGTGATATGTGATTGAAAGATACCTTACAAAGTGAAATGTAAGTTGTATTGGAAAAAATACGAAGCCAACAATATAATATGAAAATCACTTTCTCACCACCATCAAAATAACAAAATTTATAATAAATACCATAACAAAGTTCTGCTTGTCTCTAATTTTTCTTCAACGTAAAAAAATTTACCAGGAAAGAAAAAAAAAGAATGATAAGGTAAAACCTAAATAGCAAAATAGCTAAAGATATAGGAAGATAAGAAAAATGGAAAGAAATCAAGAAAGAAAGAGTTTTGGAGATGAGTTTGAGGTTTCTTTTAAAAAATATTATTTGTAATAAAAAAATGATGTGGCAATTTATATCTTATGTGGATAGTGATGGTTATCCACATCAGCGCGATTGAGAACACATGTGATCGGAGGGGTTCAAAATAATTTGTTTTAATAAGTTTAAGTGTTCAGTTGAAAAAAACGCGAGTAAAAGGGCCCATGTGACAAACAAAGCCAAGTACAGGGATCTCCGAGGTCATTCTGCCTTTTAGTTATAACATAAATTCTAACTAAATAAGTAAAACTAAAGGAAAACAAAATAAAAAGGAATTAAAAGATAAAAGGGAGATGAAACAATGTAAAGAGAAACATGAAAGACGTCACTTTTGTCCCATTTCGCTTAGAGATCTCTCTGACTGTAGAGAAATTGAAACAGACAAGTTCTTATTTGGTTTGATTTCACAATTATTGTTTTTTTGATTTTATCGTATCTTGTGTTTAAAGGTATGAATCAAGTATTGTTAACGAAAAAGTCCTAAAGTTTGAGAGATTGAAGAACATATTTATATATTCACAAGTTCTTTTTCTGTCACCTTCCTTTATTTTGTTTAGTCCATGACTTACTTAGCCATTGTAAAAGCCACGTAGATGGCTTTTCTCCCCCTCACGCCACACACTTTGCCATATGTCAAGCATGGGGCTTTAGCGCCTGAAAAGTAAGTTAAGGAGGTAACATAAACTAGGCATAGTTCAAGTCTGAAACTAATAAAAATGTGATAGTTTAGAGGGGGATTAGCACCTGAAAATTATAGTTTATGGGGGTAACATAAGCTAATCATAGTTTAAGTATGAAACTAATAAAAATGTGATAGTTTAGGGGGGATTTTGATTCATTATCTCTTGAAAAAAGAGATAATCCCTACGCCTTGGAAATATTTCTACAAAATTTGTTTTAGAATGAAATGGATCCAATAGGACAAAACAGACGGCAACTGTAATTACTTTGTAATTGAGGCGTCTTTGATTGATCAATTGAAAGCCAACCTCTTAAGAAAAGAAAACACATCTTTTACATGGAACTGGTTGATCAGCTTTTGTGTGCTTCGTCAGTAGCTTACTCAGTCACTAATGTATTTGGTAAATCCCAACAGAAACTCATGTTTGTGTGCTAATTTGTGGAATAAAACATGAAATGACTTTTACACTGGTAAAATCCCTACTGTCTTTTTCCCTTGCTTAAATGAATGTTATTTGTTTGTTGACTAATACTTCTGGCTTTGTAACCCAACAAATACTTCTCTTTTATGCTTTGTGCCGACATCTAAGTTAGTAAAAGGAGGGGTTTTAACACTAAAATCAATATTGAAATTTGCTCCTTACGTTTCCCTTTTTTCCTTTCAGGTTGTCAATTGCCATGAATCAGTCCTTTACATTTTAGCACCGCTGACATATGCTACAGTATATGGATGCTCTGATGCAACCATTGTCTTGGGAGCTGTTGGCAAGGTAGGGAATGTGAGAGTTCAGGAAGATTTTCCTTGTTAAGTTGGTATTCAGATTGTTAAAGTTTTTGTTAAGTAACTCTAATCCTGCATTGCAAACAACTCCTTGTAAATATCCTATATATGATGTATGTATATCATGTGTTATTATTTGTTTGGTTCTCACAGTTATTCCGTTTAACTTTATGCTGTAAGAGCAGTACTATGGTTTTTTTCTATAGTGCATTCCAATGTGTGATACTGTTAGGGCATTTAATTTATGAAAAACTATCTTTGTGAAGTATCTAGAGTTCTACACATTATTTATAACTAATATTTGGTTAACCTTGTCATGTACTTGAAATTGATTACTCGAATTCTACATGTTGTTTGAATTATCCTTGAATTTTGAAGTCTCAATATTCAAAGTGAACAGTTGCTTGAGGTGTTTAATTTTTTGCATTAAGGTATTTTAGGTAACACAGTTTTCTCTACATTTATTTGTTAACTGATTTATGACTGCACTTGGTTCGCCATTATGTGTCCAATTCTATATATGTGATGAAAATTTTTCCTTTTTAAAATGTCTTCTACAGGCTGTAAGAGTTGAACATTGTGAACGTGTGCATGTAATAGCAGCGGCTAAACGTATCTGTATCGCCAACTGTCGTGAATGTGTTTTTTTCCTGGGAGTGAATCAAGCACCACTTGTTGTTGGTGATAACCATAAATTGCAGGTGAATCAGCACTTTTTATGCTGCTGGTGAATTAATGCCAGCTTCTTCTATGGATGACCAAAACTCTAATTTATTCTTTCATGCTGAAATTCCAATGCTCACTCTGTGCCATTGAATTTCAATGCACACTCAAGCTGTATCCCAAGAGTCCAAGAAGTAATATGTTTCCTTAGCCTTTTGCAATCATGAATCTTACACTAGCTGTCACGCTCTGAACCTAGGCCTGGGCAGACCAACATCCAGTGCCTTAACCTGACCGAACCCTTCTATATGAACATGTTCATACAAAACATTTAAATGACATCACATCTAAAAGCGGAATAGTATGCATGAGTCACATAAGAACAACTCTCTATCCAGTAGCGGAAATATAGAAGTAAAGGTAATTTAAAACCTTCTTTTCATAAAATAACATAACAAATCCTCTGAACATATAAAAAGATATAAACCCATATTTAAGACGAATTGAGTTGATTTCAAAACTTATGGCCCCGGCGTACCCAAAAAATTAAAATACATCATAGACATAAATTGGCCCACATAAGACGTGGGTCTCACCAACTCCAATTGAATACAAACTAATATGCCTATCAAGTAAACTTATTTTTCTGAACACCTGAACTGGCATCGTGAGAGGCAACGCCCCCAACATAGTAAGAAGGGACATAAGTACATATGAAATTGTACTCGAATGTAAAGCAAACAGAATATTATAGGGCACTATAACACTGTAAATGGATATGAGGAAAGTCATATGGAAGAATTGGACATACCATAGCCTGCTAAAGTAAATATGAGATAACATGAAAAATGGTATTCAACATTGTATAGGCATAAGGAAAACGGTATCGAAAATCATAAAAGCTGTAAATAAACACAATACTCTTAGCTTGAACATATCTTTAAATCTTTAAGCAAACCATAATGATAAACGATATCAATAAACGTAAAATCTTTAAATGGATAACATACTTTTAGCTTTAACATACATATAATCTTTCTGTAGGGAGATCCTAGTCACGGACTTCCATAAATACATAGTAGTCACCATGTGTACGACATGGCATTCGATCCACACCTGATCGATTGAGCCGTCTTCACCATGATTGCCGCTTGGATCGACGACCTTATGTGTATAACAGTATCCTTGAGTCTCTTATCCCGACTATGTGGGAGACTTGACTATCTAGCTGCCAAGCCTCTTGGGCAACCATACCCTACACCAACAATGTGTAGCTTCGGGTATTGAATCCTTTTTGCCAACGTTCAATTTGTGAGAGAGCTTCTAAAATATAAAGCATATAGCTTGGACCCCTTTTGCCCATTTCATTAAATTATCATCTTTGACTCACATGCTCTTTCCGTAATCCTTGGTTCATTGGCCTTTGCTTTATGTTCTTGGCTCATTGGCCCTTTTCTCAATTTTTCGCTTGTAGGTCTAAATCATTAAGTAAAAACAAGGGGCTTAGAAACCTATGATATTTTGGAAACAACATTTATGGCTCTAGGGCCATTAATATAATCTTGAACATCATTATAAATCTCAATTGAAAGAAAAAACATCCATTAAAACATCATGAAAAACATATGGTAATTGGTAAGCTTTAGACATGTTATGGATAGTGAAACATCATGAAAACATTTGTAGAGCTTTCGTAAATCTTAACATTTAAAATTTTAAATATGTATGCACATGCCAGGAGGACACAATATTGTGGGAGTGAGTATCACGAGGCCCTTGGTCTTGAGAGTTCATGGCTAAAGATGACACTTGGGATCTTCTTACCTAAAGTACATAAAACTGAAGGCCACATTCATGGAGTGTTCATGGCTTTAGAGACATTATTAGTAAGGCAATCGTTGTTATCTCATGGCAAAATGTGTATGTAAGGGCTAGTGTGATATTGGTCCAACTAGCTTGCCAAGGTTTGGTCTAAGAGAACATGTTATGAGGACCTTAGAGTCTTGAAGCGATGCATAACTTGTGAGGACACCAAGTATGAGGGAGGGGGAGGGGTACATATGCATTTAGATATCCCTTGTCTAGGAGCTTTTGGAAATGTGTAGTTCTTTTTATGTATATATGTGATCTTGAAAACGTATAAGGGGGCTCGAGCACCATCCCATGAGTTCTGACCTTGAAGTAACCACTAGGAGTATGAATTGAAGTAAGCCCATGCAAGGGATTAGGAAAAACATTACCTTATTGGAAGAAGAGTTGTTAAAAAATCTAAGTCTTAACCATAGAGGTAATTCCTTGATGTTAATTGAATTTTACTTTTAGTTACCGCAATAATTTTTAGTTTAATAAGTTGTTTAGTTTTAAGATAATTTGAATTTTAAATTTCTATTCGATAGACTAATTTGTTGAGATATTTAGTTTGTTTTGAATTTTAAATTATGCAGATTTTGTGTTTTAAGTTGGTTATTTAAAGTCCTCTTGTGATTAATAAAATTATAGAGAGGCATTTTCAACCCTTTTTTGTTGCCCCATTTTTAAAAAAAAAATACCAACAATGGTATCAAGAGCCTCTTTGATCTTTTGTGATCTGTGAGTTCTGTAGACAAAAAGTTCGAGACGAGAAAATAATATTCAGTAATGGAAAAATATCGCAACAATTGTATTTATTGATTTCAAAATATGAGGGTTACAATCTTTATGAATCATCTGATTCGTCTTTTTAAATATAAATTCAAGGGCTCTTGAGCTTGATCTTGAACTTCATCTTGACTTGTACCTTGGATTCAAGGGCTATTGGGCTTGTTCTTGAATCTTGATGGACTTGAACTTGACTTGACTTGTACTTCAGATTCAAGGGCCTTTGGGTTTGTTCTTGAATATTGTGGTTGTGATCTTGATCTTGACTTGTTCTTTGAATTCAAGGGCCTTTGAGCTTGTTTTTGAATCTTGTGATCTTGATCTTGACTTGTACTTGAATTCAAGGGCTTTTGAGCTTGTTCTTGAATATGGTAGTCTTGGTCTTGAATTCTTGAACTTGTAGCTTGTAGAGAAATTTGCGGCAGTTGATCCACAAGCTCTCTCTGACTTCTGGTTAGAATTTTGGTGTGATTTCTGAATTATGAAGACCCCTATTTATAGTTGTAGAATAGATGAGTTATGATGAAAATAGATTTTCCTTTGGTTAATTAGATTTAAGCGACATGATGATACTTGATTGGTCGGAACATATTACTTGTACATACACATTTTTATTGGCCTTTGATTGGGATAGGAATGCCATGTCATTTTGACACGCGACATGATCCTATTGACTTCTTTGTGTGACTTGGCATGCCATGTCATTTGACACGTGGCACCAAACTAGACCTCTAGGATGAGATGACATTGGACTTAGCAAAGTGGGCTCATCTATTGATGTCCAAATTAATGAATTTTGGACTTTAATTAAATCCATATTTATTGGACTTAAATGATTAACCCAATTATATTAATTCATAATATTTATATATTCATCAATTTAGTATAATTTGAAATCATTTTATAAATTTACATGTCTTGATCCAAGATTTTTGTTTCTTTTAAATAGCATAACATTAAATTACTACTTCAAGCCTAGTCTTCAAAAGATAAAATATCTTGACAAGCCTTGAAGCAGGGGACATTTGTAATCATTTAAAATTTATTAAATATAAATTTATAAAATGATGTTGAATTATATTAAATTCATGAATATATTAGTCCAAATAAATATTATGGATTTATATAATTGAGTTAATTATTTAAGTCTAATAAATATTAACTTAATTAAAGTCCAAATTCATTAATTTGGACTACACTAGATGAACCCACTTTGCTAAGCCCAGTTCATCTTATCTTACATTTGGTGCCATGTGTCAAGTGACATGGCATACCAAGTCACACAAACAAACCAATAGGATCATGTCACGTGTCAAAATGACATGACATTCCTTCCCAATCATAGGCCAATAAAAATGTGCTACATGTCCAAGTGATGTGTTCCGATCAATCAAATATCGTTATGTCACTTAAGTTTGATTGGCCGAAGAGAAACCTGTTTTCATGGTAATCCTTTATTCTACAACACTAAATAGAGTTCTCCTAATTCAGAAATCACACCAGAATTTTAACAAGAAGCCAAAGAGAGCTCGTGGATCCAATGTCGCAGATTTCTCTTCAAGCATTCAAGTTCAAGAACGATTCAAGATCAAGTAGATTCAAGAACAAAATCAAGATCAAAGTTCATTAAGATTCAAAACCAAGCTCAAAAGTCCTTAAATCCAAGGGAAACATTTTTTCAATTGCAGTAACTAAAACAGGGGAGGAGTGTTGAATTTTTGCAGTAACTAAAAGAAAAATTCAACAGTCCTCCCCTGTTTTAGGTATTGCAGTAATTTTGATCAAAGGAAGATTGGTGGAAAAACATTCCTGCTTGCATCTGGTGGACACTATGGAAAGAAAGGAAAGGAATGAGAGATGTTCTGATGGGAAGGTTGAATCAAGATGAGATGTCTTGAGTCTTTTGTCTCAAGTCTTTTGTTTTTTCTGTGAATCATCTATTCCTACATTGTAGAATCACAGGACAACTATGGAGATTGTTTTTGAACCTCAGAGGAATAGGCATGCTTGAATAGCATGGAGCATGCCTGGGAAAATTACAGTGGCCTTAACAAGCTGGGAACATGCTGGGTTGTTGGCCAAGAATAGAGGCAGGTGGAGGATAGTCCCAACAAGCATTTGGTGGACAATATGGAAGGAGAGGAATTCTAGGTGTTTTGAGAGCATAGAGAACAGTATGCGACAAATTAAGCTTAATTGCATCTTGCTACTGTGTTTTTGGTGTAATCAGTTACTTTTAAATGATCCTGTCTCTATCATTGATGTTTTAGACTCATTATAGACATAGGATCATAGAATCATAGATGTAGGTAGTACTTTGTAAATATGGGGCTGCTACAACTCTTGTAAGATTCGGATTCTAACATATATAGACAAAGTTAACAGTTTAAAAAAAAAAGATTTAGTGGGGGAAGTAGATAGTCTAGTGGAATTTATTGGCCAATTGTAAATTTTTGATAGTTTGTTTTGGATTTTGAGAAAGATGGCACCCCCTGGGGGTTTGTAAATCCCCCCTCATCAGTTTCTTGATGAGTCCTTTTGTGTGAATACAAAGTTACCTATTTCATAAAAAAGTTAAAGTAATTTTCAGTATAATATGTTGCTTAATTTTAGGATAATTTGAATTTTAAATTTCTATTAGATAATTAGTTTGTTGAGGTATTTTAGTTTGTTTTGAATTTTAAATTATGCAGATTTTGTCTTTAAAGTTGGCTATTTAAAGCCCTCTTGTGATTAATAAAATCATAGAGAGACAGACATTTTCAATCCCTTTTTGCTGTCGCATCATTAAAACCAACAATGTTGCTAGAGATTGAAGAGGGAATGGTGTTAGAATTGTGTATTAGGTGAAGAAATAAGTAATCCATGGAGATAACTTACCTTGATGTTGTTGGACTTGTAAGAGAGGAGAGTGAAAAATAAGTTTGGAACGTCCAAAAATGAAAGAAAATGAAGTGAGAATTGAGTTTTATTACATCTAGACGAGCCCATCTGCGGAGCAATATGCTGGCCACATATTGGGGTATGCAGCCGCATATGCAACACACTTCCTAACAGAATGTTGGGAAATTTTGGGCAAATATGTGCTTGAAAATGTGGCCCTCATATCAGAATATGAGGCTGCATATCACATTATGCGGAGCGCATATCTGCCCAACATACTGCTCTACAATCTTCAGTAAAATGATCATAACATTTTGCCCCAAACACCGATTGATGAACCGTTTGATTTGTCGGAAAGAAGACTCATAGAGCTTTAATTTGATTGGTAGAACACCCTCTAATTTCTTGTAGATTGGGAGATACACTCGTTTGAAGTCGGACCATGTACGAGATCATTGGAAACAAACGACCGTAGTGCACCTTTCAACTTGATCTTTTGTGCTAAGGTTCTCCTTGACCTTTAACCTTATTTTAACACTTCAAATAGCTTCATATATGGTTCCTTGATGTATTTAGCCACTTATCATGTTCTCTCTAGCTCGAAAAAATTCATTGGCGTATGACTAGTCGTACTTTGGCATAGAGATACAGGGTGTTACACTAGCATTTGTTCTTATGATTTGTATGATGAATGTAAAACAACTAAATACCAGTAGTTGTAGGTATTGGGTCAGTTTTTCATTGTTGGATATGTGCAAGGAAGAACATTGTATCAAATGGACACTGGGCAGATTCCTTATGGACCATTCAGCACTTGGTTTAGGTAGTCTGAGGTCACCTTCTCATGTCAAGTATAAGCACCTGATCATACTAACAACAACAGCAACATACCCAGTGTAGTCCAAATATAAGCACCTGATCATGGGACTGTTTCTGTCATGTGCCAGAAACATGTTGAAAGCGCAACCGGTTAGATGTTGTGGATCCAACACAGGTTTCCTCTCAAATCTCTTACTGCACACCTGTAACGGATTTAAGTGTGTTGCAAGTGTATGTCATTGTTATTCTAATGCTATTGAGAGTTTGAAATACTATTTGGTCTGGTAATTTTTTAGAAATGGTGGAGCACTAGAGATAAAAAATTAAGTTTTGGATTTCATAATATTTGATGGAGGGAAATGTGTGTTAAGTGGAATAGATTGGCAATGCAATTGAGAAGTTTGGGATACTAAACTTTAGCATGAGGTGTATAGAAAGTGCCAAAGATGAAAATCTTAACTGTTTGGATTCTTTGCATATTCTACTTTTATATTACAAGGTTACTGGATTCTGTTTAAACATTAACAAGTTGCTACAGAAAGAGAAGTCTAAGCAGTGATATTTTCCCAAGACAAAGAGAAGGATAGCCTAGTGGAAATGGCTTTCCAATTCCAACCATGAGATTTAGCGTTTGGGTCACCAATGGGGAGTAAATTGGGAAAATTACACTGTTTGGCTTCTGGCTAGTGGGGTTTACCATAGCAATAAATGAAACAGTGATTTTTGCTGCACTGGAATACCCATGACATTACATTTTTACCACTCATCTAATAGCCAGCTTTGAAATACATGGTACATCTCAGCAGATTTAATCTCTCTGCAGTGGTTTTATTAGATACATATTTCTATTATGAAGCGCTCTTGACTTCGTGGCTCTTCTATTTAATCCACACATTAAGAATACTATGTCAAATACGAACAAAGAGACTTCTGACCTATAAGCCTAATAGGCAACATTTACAAGATAATTGCAAAAGTCTTGACTAGGAGGCTGAAGAGGGTGATGGAAAAATTGGTTGCTTACCAACAAATGGCATTCATAAAATGGAAGGCAAATAATGGATGCGATACTAATAGCCAATGAAGCAGTAGACTCAAGACAGAAGCAGGAGAGGCCTGGCAGAAAGCGTTTGGCCATGTGAACTGGAACTTCTTACTAAACATGTTACAACAAATGGGATTTAAAGTGCGATGTATTAAATGGCTGAGATTCTGCATATCTATTGTCAGATTCTCAGTCATCATTGATGGTTCTCTGGAAGGATTCTTTCTTGCTCAGATACTAACAGGGTGACCCCCTGTTACCTTTCTTTTCATAATAGCCATGGAAGGTTTGAACAGCATGGCCAAAACAACCAAACTTAATGGTTGGATTAAAGGCTTTGAGGTAGCCATGAATGAACAAAACAATCAGGAGATTACACATCTTCAATATGTTGATGACACCTTGATCTTCTGTGATGCAGAAGTTGAACAATTGATAATATTGAGAATTATAATGGTTCTCTTTGAAAGCATTTCTGGGCTGCATATTAATTGAAGAAAGAGTCATCTTTCCCCAATTAATGAAGTATCAAATGTGAAGTGTTTGACACTGATCCTGGGGGGAGAGATGGGGACTCTTCCCACTACTATCTAGGCATGCAGCTGGGGGCCAAGTGAAGAACTACTAGAATATGGAACATTGTCCGGGAGAAATGTGAGAAAAAGCTCTCAAGATGGAAGTGCCAATATTCTGTATTAGACTCTCTGCCAACCTATATGATGTCCCTTTCTATCATTCCTGTGGGAGTCGCTGGACAGCATAAGAAGGAACTCTCTGTGGCAAGGTAAAAAAGAAAAAAAGGTCTACCACCTGGTTAAGTGGCAAGAGGTAATTCTCAGCAAGGCTCAAGGTGGATTGGTATTAGAAACTTGAAGAATCACAGGAAAACCCTCAAATTGTAGTTATGGAGGTACTCTCAAGATCCTCAAAGTTTATGGAGCATGGTGATTAAAGCCATATATGAGATAGAAGACAACTGGATCACTAAACCAATCAACTCAACTTATGGAGTTAGTCTTTGGAGGTCTAAGGGTATTATGGCCTGGTCTAAAAAACCAAGTCTCTATCAGAGTGCTAAATGGTAGACTTACTTCCTTTTGGAATGATAATTGGCTGAGGAATGGAGCTCTGAAAAATTTATTCTGTCATATCTAACTCATCACCAACAGAGATTCATAGCTGAAATGTGGTCACATCAAGGTTGGGAACTGATACTTGGAAGAGACTTGAATGAATGGGTCATGAATAGAATGATTGAGTTCTACAAACAATTGGATAGTTTCCACTTTCCAGGAACTCAGAATGGAGACGACACTCTGAGATGGCAAGGACATAGTAGTGGAAAATTCAGTGTTAGTGTAGCCTACAAAATGATAAACCAACGAAGAACTCGACCAACTAGCCCTGGAAACATATTTGGAAGACCCAGATACCATACAAAGTTGCACGCTTCTCATGGTTATTGGCAAAAGAAATTGTGCTCACACATGGAAATTTAAGCAACAAGAAGAAGTGGACTCGCTGCTCAAGATGTTTTCTTTTTGAAAAGGAAGTGGACATAGTTAAGTCACCTATTCTTGCACTGTAGGATAACAAATCAGTTATGTAAGATTTTCACTTTTATCAGAGGCATAGCCTTGACAATGCCTAGAAAGATTACTTAAGCCCTCTTTTGGAGTTGCTCACATGGTCCCTGCTTGCATTTGGTGGGAAATTTGGAAAGGAAGTGACTCTAGATGCTTAGAGAACAGTAGCTACTCAGTGCAGAAGATCAAACTATAACTGTATTAAGCTCTTCTGTTTTTGGTGCAACCAAATCTACCCTGAGAATACCATATTTATCCTAGACACATTAGATTCCTGTTAGAGCAGTAGAATGGTTTTGCTCTCTTTTGCTCACTTGTATATATGGTTTCAGTACAACCCATGTACTGGTTTGTGTCTGATACATACATGTTACCTTCTCAAAAAACAATAAACAATAAAATTGAACGAAATATTCTCCTAAGCTGACTGGCTCTGTTAATACATTTCTTCTAGTTTTATAATCAGCTGTAAGAGTCGACAGTGGAGTGTTTTTTCCTCATTATATGCATTGCTAGTTGCCAGACGTCCATACTATTGATTGTGAGTTAATGTTCCGTGGAATCTTTTTAGATTTTGGAGTGCCCTACATGCTTAATGGTTTTCATCAGGTTGCTCCATACAATACTTTTTACCCTCAACTGGAGGAGCACCTAAATGGAGTTGGTATCGACCCAGCCATCAACAAATGGCATGAACCCATGGCTCTTGGTGTTGTTGATCCCCATGATTCACTGTCACATCCTGCAGGTGTCTCTGATGTGCAGACTGAATCTGCCAGCTGTGTAGACCCTGATCAGTTCATTAACTTTCTGGTATGTTTGGACAAACTAGAGACAAGTTCATGTTGAGTTTCATTTTCCAATTCCCATAGTATTGCTTCCATTTCCGTTCGTGTTTCCCTGTTGTTAGTTTGGCGAAACTGAGCTCCCTATTCTCTCGAGAAAAAAAGGTTTGCTGAAATCTGTCGCTCTGATGATTATATTCTTATTAAATTGCTTTTACTTGCTAATATGGAAATATCTCCATGTCACAGATTCCGAATTGGTCTGAAGGTGAGCAATCTGGGTCAACAAAAGACAATCCATTCCCTTTACCTGATGCTTTCCTGGCATCAAAGCAGAGAAATGTATGATGAAAAACTAACTCCTATTTTCTTATTGAAATAATTTATAATGTGTTTACTATGGCATCATTGTTCTTATATCTTCACTAAAGTCCATTCCATGTTCTAATGGTTTAGTTGAATTTTCAAACTTTTGCCAAATTACCATTTGTATTTGTCTTTCCAGCATAAAAACTTGGAAGGTCTTAAGCAGATTTTGCAGGAAGTTGACCTTGAAGAGAGCCGGAAAAAGGAATTAACAACAGCTCTTCATGGGTGCTTTAAAGACTGGTTATATGGTAATTGTGATAGATTAATCATCTATGTAATGGAAACTAGTTTGCACCTTCTCTCTCACCTGTTCTCCCATGATTTGACAGCTTCAGGAAATATACGGCAATTGTACTTTCTTCAAAATGATTAGAGTTCTACATAGATCATAATGCAGTGTTGCAAGGAGTAGCAGAAACACTTGACTTTTCCTGTAGATTTCAGTTTCAGCCATGGAAGTTCCTCTTTTGCCATTTCTTTTGGAGGCAGCTGGGAGTTTAATGCTATTGCCTGTGCAGCTATGAACAAGTTCACACTGTTGTAACTGTTGTGCAGATTTTAGTTAGAATGTTGTATTCTTTCAAGCAAAATACATTTTTCATGTACTAATACAGTAGCTTGTATTTTTATTTTTTTTAAAAAAAAATTAGGTTCTTAATTTCTCCCGAGTTCCTCTGTTATGAAATTTAGCATTTGTTTGCTTTGGCTGTTGGGGTTCCTGTATACAATTAAGAAGTGCTGAAGTGAAGCCAATATTTTGAGAAGTAGTCGCAATCAATGTGAATTCTAAATGCAGTTGTGTTTATGTTCAATCTTTGTTTTCATGGAACTTGCATTTATTCCCCTCCCTTGAGTGGCTTATGATTATTCTTGACTTTAGGTTGCTAATTGCTATAGCATTTAATATTTGCTGTTGTGCATCTCTTGTGTTATCCATTGATGAGATGCACAGGTCAACTCAATAACAAGGTGGAGAGTGAATTCTATGACTATTATAACCTAATTCGTTTTTGAAGGTGAGACTTACATTCTGCTTGTGATATCTAAAATTCTTATCTTGATACATCTATATCTATATCTATTTACACTCACAAACTTGAATGTTGAATTACTATAATACCCCTATTAAAAATATTCAATTTATTTTATTTATTAATTTAATTAATTTTATTATATTGAAAGTAGACACCTTTTCATATTAAAGGATTGTAACTTCTTCAATGAGTTGCGACTTTTTCAAAGGATTGTGACACTTTCAATGAGTTGTGACTTTTTCGAAGGGTTGTGACTTTTCTAAAGGGTTGTGCCTTTTCTGATGAATTGTGCCTTTTTCAAAAGGTTGTGACTTTTTCGATAAATAGTGATTTTTCGAAAGGTTGTGACTTTTTGGATAAGGCACAATTAACACCTATTCATACTACTATTTGGTAGATATAAATAGTGGGGTGTCCTCACACTTTTAAACTACAATTTCTTGAAGTTCTCTACTCTTCTTAAAAAATCTCAAGTGTTATTTGCAAAAATTGATTAAGTTCGAAACTCAACGAAATTCGAGATACCTCATAAGAAAGAGTTGGTGAATAAATTGTAGCAAATCATGCATCAATTCTCACACTCATATTTTTTCCTTACGATTCTCATGAGTTAACAATGACAAAAAGTTGTGGGAGAGATAATAATATTAAACAGATATGAAAAATGATCTGGGTAAGATAGTTCTTCTTTGTTTTTTTATTTTTTATTCTTTTACCCTGAGATGAAGGAGTTTCTTCCTAATTTTGCTAAAACAATGGGAATCAATGTAGTCCATTAAGTTAATAGTTTTGATGTTAAATTTACTATTTCAAAAATAGATTTTCACTTTTACTTATAATATGATAAAATAGGAATGATAATAATTATTTTTTAATAGATATGTATGTAAAAATGAACGGAGAAAGTAAAGTGTTGGTGGCAAGATTTTAAATCAAATGGAACACTAGAGTAAATATAGCATGAACATATATTTTTGTCTTCGTTCTTCATTGGCTATATATTGTTCCATATAATTTTTCTTTATGTCACAAGATACACTCCGTACTAGCTATATAAAAATAGATAAGAAAACAGCGATTGATCATAAAATGATCTTAAATCAAATTATTGATTCTATAAATAATACTTTAAATTTTATTCATCTATTAATTTTATTATTGAAAAATTATATCATGATATAACTTCTACAAGATACTGGATACTTTCATTAGACAACAACTATATGATATGTATGCGGTAGAAAAAATGAGAAGACTACAATTTCACAAAGATAAGGTAGAAACTTAATGAAATGAAATATTTTTCACCATAGGTGATGTTGTTCATATATTAAAGTTAAAATATCTATTGAAGTCTATATATCTAAAACAAAGAATTGGTCAAGCTAAATATTTGACATACGCTCAAACTTGTATTTAACCATCATTCAAGATAACAACAAAGTACAATTTTTTGGTAAAATTACCTCTATGATAGACTTACTTAAATATTAATTGAGTAGTAATATTTTGCAAAATATATATTACATATAAAGATAAAATATTGAAATACTTATGGTAATCCTTATTAGTGTCATGCACATACTAAATTTCAAGTATGAATATTTAAGACAAAATTTGTACTTAAATGGTGTACATCATTTATGTTCATAACCTCAAGCTGAAAGTCTATTGGTGACATTTTTTGAATGGATATTTTTTTTTCGATTTTGTTTACAAAATTGAGGGAAGTAAGAAATACTACTACTAAAGAAATGTAACTTTCTCCCATATTTAAACTTTGAATGTATTTTAAAATGTTTTAATGTCATTTGGTCATTTTGATCTCAAAATACAAGTAACTCTATGACAATATGTATTTATCATTTAAAAACACTTGTCCTATGTTCGTTCAATTATAATTATTTACTAAAAAGCTTTAATTTAGTGATATTAATTCTATTTTACAACATCATATACTATATATACGATACACAGGTGCCGTGAAACTAGTTTATAACTAAGTGTGTCAAGAACCAACTATGCATTATTATGGTTAGCTTTGTGGATTTCATTCGTACCAGGTTACACATAAGTTGTCAAAACTCAGTTTTTATTACCTTGCTTTTAAGTGAGAAAATCAAGAGTAGATGTCAAATTTACAAATAGATCTGAAGGATGAAATTGATATCTGTATTTAGATGTTCTCTTGCTTAGTAAATTTTTTATAGCTTTAGGAATATTTTATTGATGCGTTGAGGGTAATTTTGGCATCTTAAAAATCAAAATAGTTGTTATTACATTAGTGGTATATCATTTCATTATGGTATCTTAAAAATCAAAATAATTTTTTTACATTAGTGGTATATCTTGTTATATCTTTTAAAATCATAATATTATTTGTGAAAAAGCATAATGTTTAAATGGAGGATTGTATAGTTGTGGAAAAAGTAAATTTGTATCATCTTAAATTTCTTGGGGGGCAGGGATGGGAAGAAACTATCTAGAGAATTGAATAAAATGTGTCAAATAAGTCTTGGTTTTATTTGTAGTTGACACTTTGATCAAGAAAGGGTCAAACCCACTTTAAAATGTAATTACGTTAATTTGGGATCAAATTAATATTTTCAAAACTTTTTAATCTTTTATAAAATACAAAAAAACACTACATTTTTCAACTACTCTAATTCTAACAAAACATTTAAAAAAAGGGAAAAAGCTAAAAGAAAATAGGATTCAAAAGTTTTTCTTCTCCTCTCCAATGTTCTTCTCTTCTTCTTCTTCCTTAGAAAATCCGACCATCAACAAATATTCTCGTTCTCTTCCTCCTCATCTCCGGCCTTCACTCTCTCTTTCTGAACTAAATGCCGTCTTTGATTGCCACTCTTCTTAAAATGGGTCACTCGTTTTTTTTTTTTGAAAGAGTTTAGAATTTTCGAACAACAAACTCTTGATACTTAGTTCTTTTCTTGGGTTATTGAACAAGAAATCATTCTATAGATGTGAAAATTGAATAATGGTGTAATGATACCTATTATTTCTTGTTTTTGATAGAAAATCGACAAACCCAAACAAAATTCTAATTTTGAGGAAATGTATTTGTATTGTTGTGGTTTAGTGAAAAGTCATTTTTTGTTGCTTTTGTTCTTCTTTTTGTGACCATTTTGTCCATATGATTGTAGAAATATAGTTTGTTCCGTTGTACAATAGATATTTCATTTGTTGAAAGAAGTGTCGTATGTTGCAACATATTAGTGACATGTTACTCACATATTGAAACATAAGATTCATCTGTGGCAACAAAAGATTCATCTGTGTCAACAAAAAGTATAAATTAATATCTGTGGCAACATATATAGCCTTTGTTGTAAAAAATCACACAGTTATCTGCATGTCCCCTAATATAAAGGCGATATGTGGCAACGTATGCCACTTTGAATTGACATATGTTGTAAGTTGCCAAAATTTGAAAAAGTTAAAAAGAAAGAAATTACAGTCATCTATATAAAAGGCGTTTGGGGATGAACGACGCTTCATATTAAAAAAATCAACTTTTTGTTTCTCTTTCTCCTCTTTCTCTCTCTTCTATTTCATTTCTCTTGTCTCTCTGGTTTCTTCATTAATTCTCCACAGATCCACTTGTTGTTGTGATATTTTCTACAACATAAAGTGTAATCTGTTGCAGTTTCTGTGTCTCTACAGTAGTTCCAACTAGGTCATCGTTGTCGCTCATTCCTTTTATCGTCGATATCTTCTCAATTAAAATTAAATTAGGATTTTAAAATATTTGCTGATATTAAATTAGGAGGTTTTTAGTGATTAATGGTTGGTTGTTATTCTTTTTTTTGAAATATTATTTGATTTCAAAAAGCTTCAATTTGTAGTTGGTTGGTTAGGGTTTATGGAGGGCTTTGTGGTTGGTTGGTTGGTTCATATGTGGTATTTAGTCGTATTTGGAGTTTTGTGAGGGGGTGATGTGTTGTTGTGTTTGTTGATGCGTGTTGTGTTTGGTGGTTGTTATTTTTGTTAAGAAATATTTGATTTTGTGGTTGGTTGTTGACAATTTTTTGCAGATACAAATATAATGCCTCCTGTCAAAAAAAAAATTGTAGTAACAACTGAAATTTTAGATCCTCTCTTTTACAAGAAATTGCATCCAAAGCAGTTTCTTTTCAAGTAGAATCATGAGTTTCTTCTTCTGAAGTAGAGCTAGGAGTTTCTCAATAAGAACTTGAAATTCTCCATGAAGTTGATGAAGAGGAAGAAGGACAAGAAAAAATTAAGGATGATGAAAACAAACAAGATAAAAATGAAGCTGATGAAGAAGAAAAAGAAAAACAAATTGAGAATGAGGAAGAAAGACATGATAAAAATAAAACTAAGGAAGAAGAAAGTGAAGAAAAAATTGAGGATAAGGAACACGACAAGAAAAAAAAGAAGTTGAGGAAGAATAAGGAAAAAAAGAAGTTGAGGAAGAAGAAGAAATAAATGGAGTTGAGGAGGAAGAAGAAAAAAAAATGAAGTTAAGGATGATGTTGTCAAAACTGTCAATGCACACACTTTTCTTGTGCATTTCCAGCCAAATGCTATTGGTGATAGCATTATAAGGTCAGCCTTGGGAAATTTTTTCGAATCCTTTAGGAAAATACTTCGGG